CTTAATTTCATGACTTGAGTCACGTAATCTAAAGACTGTTACTCAAGTTCGTTAGGAACTTTCTGAAGTGAATGAAATATCTCATCAACATTTTTTGTCAGTTTCGTAATAGACGATTTTATTGAGTTCGTCGATTTTGAAGCACATTATTTTTAACGTACTTTGATTTGGCTGAACTCTGTTACTATGAAGTGTCTTCCAGTAAGACTTCTGATAGTTCTTTTCTGTGGATTCATTGATTATTTATTTACCTGAATATTTCATAAACTCATGCGTTACATAATAACATTTCCTATAAAATAGAGAAACTTAATTCTGGAAGCTCACAATACTGATCGAATAAGCATCCATCCATGAATATCCATTCATCCTACATATGCATTTCAAATGAAAAATTATGCTTTCTTTTACTCTTTGAAGAAGTGATTTAGACAGAGTCGCGAAACGTAGTAAATTCAGTTAACATTCATTGAAATTTCATGGGTAGATAGTCACATCTTTTACACATGGAGTATGTTTTCTTCAACCTTAATCGATACTCTTAACAAGTCTTAATAAGGAAAAAAAAACAGTCAGGTTATTCAAAATCTATTGATCTAATATGTCAAAATGCTAATAAGCTTTGTCTTTTATTGCATGGTCGGAATTAGAAGGAGTGATTAAGGCAATCATTGTTTGATTAGTGTAACTAATCAACATTTATTGTTGACACTTAAATACTCAGTCAATGTTGAAATATTTTAATTCTATGTGTATCCCTTTAATGAAACTATAATTTGACAGAATATTAAACATCAATAATCTTGTCTGTCAGTAAAATTTATCATTCTACTTCGTTATCATAGTGTAATCTAGATTTCATTTCAAAATATTATTTCCAATGATTATAATACTTCATAAGGAAAAACAGAATGAGATTTCAGTAGATGAAAAAATGTAGTTCGTAGACGATAAATTTATTCATTTACTTCCTACTTATATAGCAGTATTAAAAATTGATATACACATACAAAACTAGGAGAGTTCAAAATGTTACTGCATAGAAACTATATTAGCATACAAGTTAATTTTGATAATATTGAAGTGTTTTACTAAACAGAACAATCGAATATCCCGTAACCAATAGAAACACCAGCTTGTTGAAATTTACTTCAGTTATATCCTAGTCATAAATAAAACCAAATGTGAAACTTTGAATATCATTTGTATGGTTACTAAGAAATAATTATATACATTTATTTAGTTTTTTTACTGACGTATATGAAGTAAGAAAACTAGTGTACTAAACATATGGTTATTATTTAACATTGAAAATACCGTTACCATTGATACTGGTTATATCTCTCACTAATAATCTATATGATTATTAAATATCTATAGACAATAAATTGATACTATGTTTACTTAAACTAATGATAAAAACTACTACCATCAATCATAAAAATCGATAGCAAATGTTTGGTTACAGTAAATAATTCCCATTAGATAATGTATTATGTTTCATGAAATACTCTTTTAAAATGCTTTTAACTTGAAAATATCTAAAGAATATGTCTGATAATGTTTTTTTTTAACAGTAATTACCTCCCATTTGTATTCATTACTAAATGTTTTGTACTAGGTTTACTCATATGATATTTGTTTTGATCTTACAATACATATGGTATGAAGATGTTAATTACAGTCACTTTAAGTCCCTCGAAACCACAGATGGGAAGAGAAATATTTAAACCAATCTGGTAGTTTTCTTTTAATCTTGTAGTAATTCCCATTCTAATAGGTTGTAAGTTTTCTGAAGAAGCGTAAGAATACAAACAATTAATCAGTTAAGATAAATTCAAGAAATAATAAAATGAATTACAATATTCACAATTTGGAGACAGGTTTCCCAGAATTTTGAACAGTCTGCGGACAGATTTCGTCAACAAATTATATCATGATCAACTTGACACAGCACCGTAACTTGTGCACTTTCTAGAACAAAATAGTTATTGTCATCGAAATACTTAAATACTTAAATAAATGTGGAATTAAAACCCACATTTTGTCAAAACATCTACTGAAAACTAAAGGATTATAAACTTGCGCGCATACCAACATTCTCAGAGATAGGCATGACCGATTATTTTTATGCAAAAGGTTAACATGTCATATACACATCAAACAGAAATTTCCCAGATGCAAAGCTTGTTTCACAAGTTTGATTGACATAATACTACGATAGAATTCTGATGAAACTATTAAACATACTGCATCCTACTAAAAAGCAAGGCTTTCACGTTTCCCCAAAATATGATGTCTAACTGACATGACTAAAACTGATAAAACTACCCTCATGTTATTCAGACATTAGGCTAGAATAATGACAGGGATTTTATTCATGATTAAACTAAGAGAAATAATACTTAAACCTTGTTAATGTCATAAATTATCTCCCTCCTTTTCTATGCTCATAATTACGATATTTATTAAACGGCATAACACATAATCCTGTACGTATAGTTTTCTGCATCAAAATAAACTCTAAATACAATAAAATGATTGCACTATGCAACGAATAAATTCGCAGGACCTGTTCCATGTTTTGCATTAACACCTTAATATAAAATTACAAAAACATTTTTTGTACAGATTTTGAACAATTTTAAAGGAATAACTCAAAAGTAAGTCCTGGAAAGTCATTTCATCATAGCATGAGACTGTTCAGAAGAACACATTCATAACTTCTCAACTGGGGCTCAAACTCGGGGCCTCACGTCTCGTTTGCGAACCTCTATACCACAGGTCTAATACCTGACGATGTATAGGTCCAATTTTGATCAACCCGCGATATTATGCCACCATTCTCTGTTGTCTTCAGTGGATACTTCTATTACATCTGATACAATTGAATTCTATTGGTTATGGTTCGCGAACGAGCACCGCTAAGACAAAACATCTTTCAATTGTTTTCAAGACCTCATTAATTGTCTAACTTAGATCGGTTAGTGATCTCAACAAAATTTAGCAATCCCCACAACTCCCATACTATTACAAATATGTGATCTCTTTCAGAAAAGGAAGATTTGAAGTAAACAAATATCATCCTTCAAAACATCTTAACCTATTCAAAGCTTATCAGTTGGATAAATCTACATCCTGCTACTTTCTAGTATCGTTATCAATGCTTGGACCCGATATCTATTGCTTTAAAGCCTATAGAACTCTCAGCTAGATTATTTGATGTATGATTGCCGCCTTCTGTTCTTTGCCTATCAATTCCTTACCCATCGTAACTTACGAATTTATAGAATTAGAATTTTTTGTCGATATCGATAATTTCACCACTATTTCTAATCAATTAAATCTGCCTCATCTGAATGAATCAATAACAAAATCTTCTATATATTAAAATTAAAACCAATCCTATTATAGATTTGATTACTATCATAAACTGTTTGTCTCGAATTCGGTTATAAAGAAAAACACTAAATAAAATCGAATAATCTTTTTTTTCACAATTAAACGAATAAAGGAACTTCCTAACATTATTTATTATTACGTTTCTTAATTAAATGACACAGTCGCTTATATATTCCCGCACATAACTACACACACACCACATGTACGTACATAAATATATATAGACATACATACAAAAATGTATATCAACAATAACATAACCACTCCACAGGTTTTATCACCATCTACCTTAAATTTTTTTCCCTTTTGTTTTTTTTAGCTTTTTAATTCGAATAAAATTGAAGTATGTCGCCAAATTAAATAGAAGGCGACAAAAAATTATACAAAAATAGAAGTTATTATTAATTTGTATGGTAAATTGAAAATTCTTATTTTGTATTGAATCAGTGAGAATTACACACACACACACATTCAAAAAAATGGGATTTACATAAGTAGTTATCATGTATCTGTGCCTACATACAAATCAAACACTGTCTATATATATATATAACTTTATATAAGACAATTTACCATCATCACACATGTAATTCATATATTTTCATTTGTGTATGAAGTAATCGGTTAGATGAAGAAAATACAATTTTTTTTAATGTTCGCATAAAAATTGGTCATTAGTAGGAGAGATGAACAAATATGACGTTGAGAAATTAAATCGTACGATTACGTAATAGTGTCCTTTAATTTATTCTGATAATTATCATTACAATAGAAGTGGTATCAGGATTGTCATATATGTTTACGAAATGTTACCTACACCGAGATAATATGGTTAATCATAAGAATTCAAACAGAATATCATTTCCCAGATATTAAACAAATAGACATTACAATCTTGACTGTATTCGTTTATAATAACAATAGTAACACGTTATCTTTAGGACTGAATATTTTAAAATGTTCTTGATAGTATCACAGAATTCATAGTTATTCTGTCAATGGTTATTAATAACATACGACATTTGGCATCTGAGTCTAAATAGTTCAACAAAACTATTACAAAAATGATTAACTTTACAATTACAAATGCTACAATCTTTCAACCTGTAGATACAATTATAATACGTGTATAGTGGGAGCATAAAAGGTTGATTCACTTAGTATTGCTTGTTTGAATCTTCCCTGATATAGCTATCCGGACTCAGTAGCTGAGTGAATAACGCGATGGAGTTTGAAGCGAAAGGTACTAGGTTCGAGTCCTAGAGTGAACATCAACTTTGAGATGCAGGTACACCCAGCTGACGAGTCCCAAATTGGAAGAAACGCGCTTTTGGGATTCCACTGCTAGCCACTATCCATCTTTGCTTATAAGAGGTCGATGTTGCGAAATTCTCTCAGTGAACATAATATTACTTAAAATTAAATTGGTTGTTATACAGCCAAAGATTTATGTATATATAATCCAGGTTTCATAAATCGATTGCGGTTTTCACTGGGGAATATATATATATATATATATATATATATATATATATATATGCTGACGATACAGTGTAATCTAATTTAAAATTTTTTTCATTTTTCTCACAACATTTTAGATATATACAGTTATTACATTTATTCTGCAATTTGTCGCACCCTGTTTGATTATATCAATATGTTATTATCGCGTTAGTTGTGTACTACGTTCAAGAGGTTCAACAAAAATTGGTTGTGGACGTAAAAGTCGTGAAAAAGAAGAACTTGAAATAAAACGTAATCGTCGTACAAATCAAATGTTAATAGCTATGGTTATTATATTTGTTGTTTGTTGGATACCATTAAATGTTCTATGGATAGTTGTAGATATAATTGGTGAAAAAGCTGAAGGTTCCGTTTATTTTCATCATACATTTATATTATGTCATATGATTGCTATGAGTTCAGCTGTTTATAATCCTTTTTTATATGCATGGTTAAATAATAATTTTCGACAAGAATTTAAAGCTATTTTTCAATGTAATAATAAATTCTGTACAAATAATTCATCATTTATAACAACTAGACCACAAACTCAATCAAAAGTCATATCACGTTACACATGTAATAATAACAACAATAATAATGATAAAGCTAAAAACGATCATATGGATTGTGATAATGAAGAAAATATAAATAATCAGTTAAAAATGCATAAATCAATTGACAAACCGAAAGGACAATATAAAAGCTATATGACAATAGCTGACGGTGATGGAAGTGTATGGCAAGGACCTGTCTGCAGTGAAATCAAATAAAATGAAGTTACAACTTTAACATTTATCCCTAATATCAAGTGAACAAGAGAAGTAAGTCTTTAAAGACAAATTAGATAAACAAGTGAATATATCAAGATGATGAGGGTATTTATTGAACTTTACATTTGTTTATCAATGCCAATAAATCCATATACTTATTCACCATTATGGTTGACTAATTTCATACTTTTCATGTATATTGATATTCATAAAAAGAGGAATATATATATGAGTACTTGCGTGAATTGCATTTATTTAGAAGGACTTATTGTTTTCTCTATTCATTATTTTCTGTTTAAAAACAGTTAACGTGATATGTACAACTATCTACTCGATCTATAAATTTATGTATGTATGTGTACTTGCGTACACCTGTAAATATGTGTGTATGAGCATGTAGTTATGGATATGAGAAATCCAATGAGCTGATACTCAAAAGACAACAATAACAACCACGATCTCAGAATAAAGTCCCTGCAATACAAGTACTTATGAATGATCAGTGTTTAATTAATCCCTAAACATAAATATATACGCATATATATGTGGAAACTGATTACGGTTGAGAAAAGTACGTCTTAGGTTTCAGAGATACTACAGCATTTAATCGGTACAAAGAAGTAGAAGTAATAAAATATAATCAAATGAAATAAACATTCATTCACAATTTTTTAGTAATATCTGGATAAATTCCAGGGAGTAGCAGACATAAATCAAAATTTTTTAAACATTAATGAAGTATCTTTATTTACCTTACGAAGTCTAACAAATAAATTTATCTAGTACCATTAAACTTTCTAGCGGTAATAAACACTGAAACGCAGCGTAAATTGAGATTTTAGTGATCCGCGCTTTCACATTTATTACGAAGTTACTAGAGTGAGATTCATTCCAGTTTTCCCACTAAGTAAGAGTGAAGATACATCTTAGATGTTTGAATGAGTAGAGCAATGTGATCTTGAACGTTGCTAAAGATATGGAGGTGATTGACACTTCTTTAATGTCCGTATCACTAAAGGATATTTCTTCTTAAGGGACTGGAAAATGGAACTGAATCAGTAATAATGTTGACGGCATGGGAATGTTATCACACAGTCCAAGAGACAATTGCATACAACCAGCTACATTTAGTCATTTTGTAAGTTCTTGGTATGTTAGCTGTGTAATCTGCAGACCTAACCCCTAGCAAAATCTATGGAATAATATGATTAATAATAATATGATTAATTCTAGTCCTCGTAGTGAATTACCTTCGAGATAATTCCCTAGGCTTCGTACATCAATCACCCTAATAACCGTTATTGAATAAATCCAAACGGTGTATAGATTCAGAAGATAACACGAAGCGCTGACTACAGTTTATTATTGAATAGCACGGATCACCAAGTCATAAGCATACCAAGCGAATTAGAACACAAAGGTTACTTGAGCGAGCAAATACAGAGATGAATTAAGAGTAGAATCAAACATATATATGGCAAAGCAAGTGATTCATTGGGTGATCCAAGCAAATAACATTTAAGCTAGAAGGAGGGATACGAGCCACGTCTGTCACATGTGATCAAGCATACACGTTCGTATAGATCTAACAATAATACCAACATAAACAAATTGTTACTGTTCGAATAACACTGTCTTTTAAATATGTTATTTGAAGGGCTGGACAAAAGTAAACATAAACAAACATAATTGTAAGAGAGGTGTTATATCTTCTCGTTCTGTCGAGGGAAAGAAAAATCCTTTTAAACACTGTTTGACTCAGGAAAGCACTACCATCATAATCGATAGTACGACTTCCTTCTCAGATGTCAAGTTTTTCAGTTGTAGTCTTGCAACTCTTCAACTGATCTAACTACCGAAACAGAAACTAAAGAAACGAGTTCATAACCAGTATAACTCAATGTGATATGAAGGCGTATTCACCACGTCAAAGTAGTAGCAATGAAGAGAATTAAATATAGGACGCTGTACACTTTCGCGTGCCATTCTTGTTCCCAAACCATGGTGATATTTTCGTCATTGTTCCAATTTCGGCACATATATCGCCGAAGCAGGTAGGTAATTCAGCATGCGAGTTTCTTATAAAACCAAGAATCAAGAATAGAAAGAACAGATATAACTAGATCTTAAATTAGTAACGTGAAAATAAAATCATTTAAAACATACCAACCAAAACGTCCTCAGTAACTCGTTGTAGAGAGTAAGCCATCATTTGCCTGTATTTGCTGAATAGCTTCTATATTGGTCAAGAACTTCAAACCTGCTAGTGTGTATGAGCAAGCAACTAACGTACATACAAGAATTAATGATGACTGACTTTAACAGTTTCCTGTAATATCATATGCACATCTGTTTTCAGTTACTTAAGCTTGTCACCATATTTTAAACATACTTATCTTCCCTTAGGAACTGAACAGCAGTCAATTAACTTACCGTCATTATCGATTGAGTTTTCAGATAGTATAATCTACATTTTCTATGTTTCCCACTTTATTTCCCACTAAATTCAAAGTACGTGGAATAAACGACAATATAATCAACTGCGATCTTGTAAAATCATCTAATAAGAATATCCATTTAGCTAAATCGGTATTTGTTAATTATTTTAGAATCTATAATTCTACGATAACAAACAAGCAGATTATGTAACCTAATCAGTGAAGTAAAAAATCAGAATAGGGATTGGAGGAGATCGGAGTAAGTTTAATAGTTGAATTCATGAGTCAATCTAAGCTAGATCTCCCATTTGAAGACCTGAAAGCACTGGATGGCCGTTTCGTCCTAATATACGACTCCTTAACAGTAGAAAATGATAGTTTCATTTTAGCTGTGTCAGTGATGACAATAACAATAATAGGTTGAACGAATTTCCAACGTAGAAAAAAAGTGCGAAACTTGGGAAAACAGACAAAATACTAATCATCAGAAGTTATCCCATTTAGATTACTAGATAAAATTCTAATAATTTTTTTAATGGGTAACACTAAAAAATGGGATATAATATTTCATCTAAATGATGAAATCTATAAATCATTCTATATAAAAGCATTTTCAATAAGAATTCGTCTTATGAATTGCCCCTCTCGAAACGATCATAGTAACAAACGATTCAAAAAGGACAGTTTTATAATTAAAACATTTTTGAATCTCTCATACTGGGTTTGATTTTACACGGTTTAATTATATTCTTTTTGTTATATTCCGTGGAGAATTATGAATGGTAACTTTGAGGACTATTTATGTACCAATGTGATATGTATATTTCCTATTGTATAATGGCTAAGTAACTTGACTATTCATATTCATGTTCCTTTTATTATAAGCTTTATTTTAACCTATGAACTATTATTATACAATTTACAATTCTTGAGTTATCCCTATTCTATTAATTACTGTTTCCCCTATTCATAGCCAAATTTGGCTAAATCTTGTACAAATGTTGTTTTCCTATTTTATGGTACGATGTGGTCAGTTTGTTCGGTATGTAAACCCAGTATATTTGAAAATAATCATTCATATTGCAGAGGCTGTTATCGGTGTTCTGAACTTAACTGGCCGGGCTAGGTAGATAGCAGGACTGTTAAGTACTCCAGACCGCTCATACGGCTGTTTGTGTATCGTTGGGCGATCAATAAATTCGCCTCTCTCTAATTGGCGGTTTTATCACCTCATATATATTAAACAGGGCACGCACACATGCAATCGATATAACAATTTTCCTCATATTACCACTTTTAACTTATTCTTCAAGTAAATACTAGACAGTAATCATTAACTTATTTTAAGAAAACTTATCACCAATGAATTAAGTTATACAAATACTATTTTCTCTACCATTTCCTCCTTTCACTATACTTAAAATTCTTTAGTGATCATTTTTCAGTGCTTAAATTCAATTTTTTTCTTCAATAAACTAACCTTCAAAATGATTGATTTCTAGGTCAGTGTAAACTTGTTTATTTTTTCTTTTTCTTCAAAAAAGCAATTAAAATCGAAAAATTTTTTTAAAAAAAATGAAAAATGAAAAGCGTTTTTCATTCTAGATTAATATTAAATAAAACTTAGTTTCCATTCATTCAGATGACCAATTTACAGATTAAAGTGTGGATAGCCCAAAAATGAAAACTTAAAATCAGAAGGGGTATTGGTGGAAATTTCAGTATTTTCATAGTTGAAATCATGAGTCAATTGAAGTTAGACATTAACACCGTTGAATACCGGCTCAGTGGTATAAATGTATTAAATGTATTATAAATGTATTAAATTAGTTAGAAAGTGATGTACGTACAATTGACAATACTGTAACTTACTGATTAACATTAGAGAAAAGTAAATTGAATAAAAGAATTCAAAGATCATTCCTCTTAATATATATTCATGAGATTGTTCTTTGAATGCCTCCTTATCACATTTAGCGAAAACTGTATCAAAAATTCATGAATATTAAGAATGATTCTTTTTTTTCTGTATTATTTATTTGCTGGCATCAAAATGAAGTTGCTTTTATCTCTTCTTTATAAATATGCAAGAAATCTTCAGAAGTAATATAAATTCTTTTACCGCAAGTGTTTCTTCTGATTCATTAGAAATATAAATAAGCATCAACTCAATGCATCAAAGATCTGCACAACGAAGGAAATGGTTAACATGATGTAAAACAAAACAGACAATATAATTGCATAAATGATAGTGAAAAACTAAATAAGATGGTTATACTAGGAAGGGAAGAGAATGAAATTAAAATATAAAACGTAAAAATATTAGAACTCAAGATTTAGAAAGGAAAATAATGTATGAATCTATTTAGGATACTCTGGCTGGTTTTGAGTCATTCTATCTAATTTTTCTACTCAACAATCAAAATTATCTTCGGAACCATGCCCAACATACTTCTTACCCACTTTAACCATTACAAGTTCACAACCTCATCAAACTTACGTACAATCTAAAAACCTTATCATGTTCATAAATTTATTCCGATAGATCTGTGATCCAATACTAGAAATTTTTGTATTTCTTCTAACCTTTAAGTCCAAGTTTCACGGATACAAATTAGTACGAAGCAAACCTCTACAATGTGTACTTGGTGGATTTCTTGACTGGTTTCTTTTTGATGATTCTATGGAAATGTGTTGTGTTATATGCCACTGCTACCTTTTCCAT